ATTGCTTCAGACTGGTAATTCCAACAGCAAATAATCTGATTACTTTTTTTTTTCCCCATTCATGTGTTATTCCCAACAAATCTTTACCAGTTGGGCTGTAATAAAGGCAGGTGCAAGTGCTTCTTGGCTCTAGTCCCTAACCTACAGTTCCTAGTTACTTGTACCTCAACTTCACATAGTACTCTAATCACACAGCTTGACACAAATCCAGACCAATGTAGTCTTAGGAAAACCCCTTGCTACAACAGCACAAGAAAGCCCTACAGTGAAGATGTAGCTAGACAAAAGCACAACAAATAGGTCACGTGGAATAAATACAGCCTGGAGCAGGTGACACTAACCGCAAAAGGTGTGTATGACTAATGTACGTGTTCTGCTTAACTATAAAGATACGGACAAAATTACAGATTCACAGAAAGCATGAGCTTGAAAGGGACCACTGGAGATCAGCTAGTCCAACCCCTCTGCTCAGGCAGGGTCACCTACAGCAGGTTGCTCAGGACTGTGTCCAGTCAGGCTTTGAGTATCTCCATAGTCAGAGACTTTGACCTCTGGGTAACCTGGTCCTGTGGTTAGTCACCCTTGCAAGAAAAAATGCTTTCTGTTGTTTAAATAGCACTTCTTGCATTTCAACTTGTGTCCACTGCCTCTCGTCCTGTCACTGGGCCCCATTGAGGAGAGTCTGCCTCCATCTTCCTTGCACCCTCCCATCAGGTATTCACACACATTGGTAAGATCCTTCCTGAGCCTTCTCCTCCTGAAGCTGAACAGTCCCAGCTTTCTGATTGCTGATGAAGCTTACTCATTCCATTCATGGACTGTCCTCCTTCTGCAGCATCTGAATCTTTCTATCCTGTCTCATCTCTTTAGGCCAGTACTTTCTTCTGGCCTGCCTTTGTTTCCTCATAGCATAACTTCTAAGCATGGTGCTTGCTGACAAGAATGCAGTAACGTCTTGCTCCACACAAACTCTTGATTATATAAATTGCTTAACTGTGTAAGACCAGCTTTTATATCCCTGAATTTTAAAGACGTTTTTGCATTTTCTGTGAATTACCCATCTAGCATGGCTTCACTACGATGAGTGATAAAATAATGCAGCCATTACCATATGGGTCTAAAATTCAGGCAGCAACCTGTCACAGGCCAGTGTGAAGAACGCAGCAAACCCATTTAACTGAAACACATCAAGGTAAAATTCTCCAAAACAGAAAACTCTTGAGAAAAACAAGAGCCAGACAGGCAAAAACATTTTAGGAGGATATTGTGAAAGGTCTCTGGTAACATACATAGCTATTATTAAAAAAGCATTAACTACATAGTGGCATGTATCTCCCTCGGTAAGAATGCTGAGCCTTGGTAGCAGCACTGTATGCCAGATAACCTCAGGGTTTTACAGAAAAATGTAGCCTTGGAACTCTAGAAACAAATGACTTTCATTTCTTCTTAGAAAAAGCGTTGAACTTCTGATAGTCTGGCATCTCTGATTATCCCCACTAGAGGTCATAGAAGTAATTGCACTTCAGTACACTGCCTGCAGCTTATGCAATGAAGTGAGCTGTATTTCCATGACAAAAGATGGGATCCTCTAATGTGACTTGAATATAACTGTTTTCTGAGATTAATATTAAACTAACGGTATCCAGCTTACTGCAGCTACAAAGCAGGTACTGCATGTATCTGTATGCAAACATCACTAGTGAGACTCAGTCTTACCAGCTCCTAGTGATCAATAGCTTTGGAGATGAGGGTAACTGAACTAATCAGACACCTAAGTAAGACACCTTCACCATTTCTAAGAGGAGAAGCCAAACCTGAATCCAGAACAATCAGGGGAGCACACATTTCAGAAACCGCTGCTGAAATGAAATAGCATCAGTAAATAGTAATAGAAGAGCACTAGGTAGTAACACCCAACACTTCAACATTCAACAACTTCTTCCAGCCTTCAGCTCTAATTAAATGTTCAGATCGAATCACTGAGCTGATTGACTGCCACCAGTGATTAGCCAGAGAATACAGATTTGTGCTAATTGCTCTACACTCTTTTTCTCAGTAACTGGCCTGGAAAAATGCAGATAATTGTGTTGTGACTGGCTCCTGCAGTCACAGCATTTCCGAATTCTTAGCAAGTTCCCTTCAGCTTCAAATTTTGTGGAAGGATGAAAGGGTAGTGTGGGAAACCTCAGCCAGCATAAATAAATAACTTCACCTTTGTTCATTATAGGATAATCGTACTTGCCCTTTCCATTCACTCTGGAAATGCTTAAGTGAAATACTGGCTTTAGTTAGAACTGCAGGCAGGTACTATATACAGAGGAAGGCTGTCTTGTCCTACTCTGAAAGCCATTAGAAGGAGCACTGTGATGGCTGAACAAAGCAGCTGGCAGGCCCAGTCAGAGGAAATGAAGAGATCCAGTGGATGTTTTTAAAACTAGAGTTCTCAGCACCGATAAGCTCTATGGGATATATTGGCAGGGAACCTGGGGAAGATGAGGAAAAAAGGCTTGTAAAGTGTTGGATCGAAAGCCTAGTCAAAAGGGAAAAGTGTTTCCAAGTCACAACCAAAGGCTTCAGTCTAGCCCTGAGACTGGCTGTGTCACACCTGACTGTGAGACAGATTAAGCAGACCCCTACACTTGTAACATACTTAATCCAGGATAGCCTGGAAAAACAAGATAAAAACAAACCACCCAAAACAAGAAGAAAACCCTTTTATTCTGCTGGGTTACTTTTCAGCTAGCTCAGGTCTCCAGTCAAGTGCAACATGGCCTGCAGCAGTTGTGTCAGCACAACCGAGAGGTGGGGGTGAGGGCAAGCTGCCACGCTGTGGACTCGCCAGCTTTGCTCTTTCAGAAACGTATGTGGAATTGCAACCTAAGGATGCTTAGCACTGAAGTTGCTCCTGGTTGCAGAGTCCACATTTCAAACACTGAGGGATCTCTCTCAGTCCGGAGCAGAGTTCTGCTTAAGCTCTGGTTAGGCTTGTGGAACCCGAAAGTGGTGCTAGGAAAGCGTGAGTTGCCAGTACCTGTACTGCTAATGACTAGATGCACACTAAATGCAAAGCAGGGAGGCGAACAAGGTTATGAGATCACATCCAGAGTGCTACATCATCTGGACCTGGGCTGGAATAGCTTGAGGCTTATTCTGTTTTGATGGTTTGGTGGAGTGCCCGAAAGGCATGACTCAAAGGGACTTGGGAGGTGGGTGGATTCTAGGCAGCAAAACCTGTCCAGAACATTAATCACTAACTAATTGAAAGACATAAAAGAACCACGTAAACTTAACGGCCCCTCAGAAAATAATTACATTCCAGTCTCATTAAAGGATCCTATTTGTCACTGAAATGCAGCTATTTCCACAGCTTCGTAGCACCATTCAGTAATAGGTAGAGAATTGAGAGGATAAGCTATATCCAGTTCTAACGTTTTATTGAAAAAGGTGACTGTCAGGTCTGAAAAAAATAGTAACTGCTCAGAACAGAGTTGAGCCAGCACATCTCTTGAAAAAAGCATTAGCAGTTCGTCCCTGACCATAAGCAGCTGGATCCCTTCCTTTTATACTCAAGTAAGTATCAGAACTGTCAAGTGTAAGTTTATGTATCCTGGAAGGGAAGCCAAATTGCACTCAGCCATGCATGACAAGATGATTTAAATGGCTAACCTTTTAAACAGTGCTTGTTTTTATAGATACCACATCTTTACGTTGTTGAACTGTTTTTTGGGTAATTTTTTTAATGTGTGAAATGTTACGGATAAGATGATACAATCAGAAAGCACAGCTCTGCCAAACTTCTGAACTTTAGTTTTCCATTTCATCACATAAACTAACATGATATATCAAAGGACAAATTCATTGTCTGCTCTATTTCAATGTAGTTTGAACCAGATCAGCCTGAAGATACGAAGCAAGAACCTAAGTAGGAAAATGAAAGTTTGCGTTTTACCCTTCAAGAAGCTTTAGGCTGACTTTGAAAGTAGAACATTTCTTCCTTGTTCTTCTTCCCTCCCCCCTCTTCCTCTTTAATGTTTTAGGGATTTCACAATGTGGTTATCAAAGAATAACTGAGAATACATAACTAGGTAGTAAAAAAGAACAGGACTAAAAAAATGGAGGTTTATAACCTAAACTAGAACAGCAACAAATCTCAGCTCCCTAAGAGCAATCTCACAGTACATTACCATAATTCCAGAGTTAAAAATAGAAAACCGGAGAAGGGTGTTACATTGTTAAAATGTAGCTGAAAAATTCATGACTCTTCTTTAGAACTAGCCAGTCTCTCTAATGTACTTCAGGGACTGGCAGTTTTGTTCCCAAGTCTGTCTCTCTGCAGCTGAAGCCCTGACAAAGTAGAATGAATGCTGGCTGCCCGACTGGGGTAACCCAGACGTGCTGCAGTGCATAGGTTCGAAGTTCTACCATTCATAATACATGACGTTCCTGCCTCGGTCTGCAGCATACATGCTGTCTTCAAGCAGTTTAGGAGGGCTGTGTCGTGTGCTCTGGCTTCCAGGAGCACAAGAATTGCAGTTGCATCAAGTAAAACTTAGGAATTCTACCCCTCTGGCTACAGTAAATTCTGATCTTGCACAAAGTAAAGGTTTATCGATTTGGCTTTTATTTTATTACTACACCTACTCTTTAAGTGTAGAGCTAACAGTTTTGATGCAAAAGGTAGGAGAGGAAGATGGAAAATTTTCCATAGACATCTCCAAGAATGAGAGGGAATACTCTTTCAAGTATTTGTCAACTTTAATTCATGAGTGTTCAGGCAAATCGCTAAAATGGGGAAGCATCTTGACTTCAAAACGTATGCATCAGAACAGTAAAAATGGAATGAAACGACCCAAAGTTACTAACTTTTCTTCCCCTTGCTTTCTGGACTTGGGTTGTAAAATAGAGATAAGGCCACCCATCTACCTCAGTCTTGTTCTGAATATCAATATTAAAAGGAGAGCTGAGTGTTCAGATACTATAATGAAAAAAGGTCCTAAGATGGTTGAGGAGGAACATGCTCCACCACCTCCTGACAGAGCTACATGAAATTCCAGTCTGATTATGGGAAACGGTGGAGTTCACAGACACAAAAAATCTACTGCTGAAAAGAACATCTCATTCTTCCTCAAGACAATTCAGTGAAAATTAAAAAAAAAAAGCCTTCCACACCCTGCTAAGAGTTTTTGCATTTTATCTTTAGTGACCTTAGAAAATACTGTTTCACGAAACAAAGGACACAGAGCATGCCATGTCACGCCGTAGTAAAATGTAACAGTGGAACTGCTTTTAAACACAAAGAGAGAATTTTTCATTGAGTGTATTAACTTGCTAGCCATTTATGTATGAAATTTGCAGGTCAAAGCAAAGAGAATTTGGGCTTCTCCAGCTGCCAGTTTCTGATGGAAAAATTGTCCCAACTTGTATCTTCTGATAATCCCAGAGTTATGTACAAAGAAATTTTAGTTTATAGGCTGATACTCACAGCATGGGTTGTTAAATGCTGTTGAGTAATGATGATAGTAATATGTTTGTTAAAATAACGGTATTTGGTTAAGAGGGAGCAAAGAGAAGAAAAGGTCTCGGGGAATATTTTTTATTTGTGTCCTTAATTACTCCGAGACTGAAAATGTGAAGGTTTGGGGATACACTTATCTACCCTTCTTTCTTCACTATTTCATTGCTATTTGCACTTTGGCAGAAAGACTGGAGGAGCAGTGCTTGCTGCTTGTGCACTAGAATACCACCACTGGCCTAGAATAGTGAAAAAGACAGACATGCAAATGAGGACAGTACCTGCAATAGCTTGCAAGTGAGTGCAGGAAATGTATCCCACGATTCTTTGGTCCTGAGGTGTACTTCCCACTTGCACCTGGAAGGGAGGGGAAGAAGTAAAAAGGTAGTTAATGGAAGAGCTCATACAACTCCGGCTGCGCAGCCTTTGTACACAGTACGGGCCTTTTTCACCACTCGTTCCATTGAGCTCCATTTTGAAAACACACACGTACAAGAAGCCCCCAGAGAGACACACTGGGGCTTATTGGGGTCCCACTTACAGCTACTGACTCCTTCCTGCCCACCACTACTTCAATGTTTGGTTTTGATCTGCAACACGCACAAAAAATTTGACTTTCTCCTGCTCTTCACAAGTCCCACTGGTTCTCTGTCCCAGTTGCATTGCCACCCTTCTGCGTCCCAGCTCTTGTTCACATGCAAGATTCAGGCCCACCACTGAAGTGCAATCTAATACCAATATTATCAGCAATGTAATTCTTGTGTAAAACTAGAATGCAGAAGGAAAAAATGCCACAGGAGTCTGGGGAGAAGGGTGAAACATGAAATAAATACTGGTTTTGACCGTGTTTTCTCCATTCCACAGCAAGTTTTGGATTTTGCTGGATTTTTTACATTCCTCTACAAAGGTGTTGGGATTTTTGCTATGTCTCAGCAAAGTGTTTACATTCCTCAGCTCACAGCAGCAGCCCCCATGTCTGTCAAGCAGATGCAAACACAATGTGCGCCTGTGCTCTTACACACAGAAGAGGCAAGGCTTCCAGGGGAGCTGGAATGTAGTATAATTCCTCATCTATATCATACGCTGCAATCTTTTAAAAATATATTTGCTAGTGGACACAGAAGCAAATTGGAATCAAGTTCTGGTTTAGGTTTTCAACTCTATTGAAGGTTTTGGTAGTTCAGGACTTCTACAGCTGCAAATCAAAATTCCACATGATTTGAGGATCAAGATTTGGATTGAGGCAAGAAACTAGTTTGAGCGTATGGTTTTCCTGTTGAAAATTAACGTGGCAACACTGCATGGCCTACTAAAGAAAATGTCCACAGAGGAAAGTGGTACCCAGGGCTCAGAAAACAAAACCACAGATGACTCTCCTTCATGAGGCTAGGCTCAAATTTCATCTGGCACCTCTAAATACCAAGCAGAGCTCCATTTCATACAGACACAATTTTGTCAGCTTGGTTCATTTTCTTGTTTTTCAGCTATCCAAGAACCATCTGATTCATCTTGTAACTGGAAAGTCAACTTTGCAGCAAGTGAATTTAGAAGTCATTTGTACTCGGCGATGCCTTGTTAACTTTCAGGTTTTGTTCCAGTGAGAAGAGTATGTAATAACTTGCATTATTCTGTCCTCAGTCTGTTCAGTCCTCTTTTAGACAGTTTTCCAAATGGATATTGATGGTGTTCTTACTGCTGTTCCCACACAGCCTGCCTCAGGGAGGGTGAAGGCAGAGGAAGACAAGGAAAATACAAGGAAATCACAGGTGGATCTACCCCTAAGACAGAGGATTCTCCTGAACTCACAAGATTGTAGCAGAGTCTCAAAAGATATGCCCAGCTGCTGGATGGCTACAGGTGACTACTGCCGAAGCCTCACTACGCAGATCTCTTTCTTCCTCCCCCAGGCTGCCTTGGTCTGAATATATCATGATGTCACAGGTAAATTAAAAGGAGCGTTCTCTCCCAGATTTTTATGCAACATATGCCATTCCAGTAGAAAAGTGGGAAACCATTAGTTTGTATCCTCTACTGTCTAGGGCAGGCAGGTGTATGAATTACATTTTCCAAATTTAACTCAAAATTCTCTTCAACACTGAAAACCATATATTGTAAAGTCTCCACTAGTTTACCGATTTGCAGCGTCTCCTGCTGCAGAGAAAAAGTGTGCATGACATACATCTTTCAATGCCATCTACTGTAACAATACTGAAAAGAAAATACTGTATGTAAACTTTTCTGCCTTATGGCAAGAATGTGCTGCTTAGAATCCTCTTGGTGACTAAAGCAGATGGAATAATTTTCAGTGTCTTTATCTAAAAAGATTTAAGTCTAAAAGCTGAACATCCAAACATAAATTGTAGTCAGCTGAGAAAAAGAAGTCAACTCAAATTGGCTTTAGAATTTCCCATGCAGCCGTAATGGAGTGCCTGACAAGGCCTTGTACTCATCAGCCAGTTTATGCACAGGATCACACTCATTTCCATTAATCATAAATAAAGATGTATTGTGCGGTGTCCCTGTGTGCACAGATCTATACTCAAATGGACTTGGGATCTTTCACTCTCAGAGGGTGACAAACAGCCTAGAAGAAAGACTGACTGCCGCTACACACAGGAGGGTGAGCGCAAAAAATGCCCCTGGGGGTTGCCACCGCAGGGGGACGGTGCTCCAAGGCTCTGGACTTGCTAGGAACAATGGCTGCTTTACACACACCTGAGGGGAGAAGGAAAGGGGCTTTCATAAACTCTCTGCTAATTTAAAAAACCAAAACAAACAGACAAACAAAAGCTCAAAAGCAAGAGCTGAAGACGTTACCGTAATTAGAATTGCCTTGGAAAGTGCCAGCATGGAAGTACATCCAAAACAGATTGTCTCCCAGATTTCATGTTTCCTCCAACTTTTTGACTTTTGGGGTGGGTTTGTTCATGTTTTTTTTGAGTGGCAGTATTGATGTAAACCGCCACGCGGAGTCACTTTGAGTATAACCATAATGGAGGCAAATACTTGTGACAACTACTAGGGGAGAAATTAAATGTCTTTGCAGCCTCCTAGTCAACTCCCAGCTACAGTAGAAACACTAGTGTATTAAATATGGTCTGAAATAAAATGGTAAGGAAAATCTGATTATTCAGTCTATTTTGGTATTTCACAGATGGACAAGGACTATGGAATGTGCAGACAGGAAAACTACTTGACCTGTGGAATATTACAAGCCCTATAATTCTGCATAAAAACATTCCTTTGTGTGGGCAAATACTGTAGCTACTTTTAGACTGTTCCATTTTCAAGGGTATATTATATTGTGGTGCGTCGGCCTGAGCAGCTACGTGGCAGTCCTGCAGGAAGGCAGTACCGAGTGTTCATTTCAGCCTGCAACGTGGATCTTGGCAGAAAGGTTCCACTTCCACCAAACCAAATCAGCACTTCACAAATACAACATAATTTCTGCTGCTTAATACAGAAGAAACTTCTAAATTCACATTTACAAAGAAAATACATGTAAGCAAATAAACCAGGGTGGCTCCTTCACCATAAGCCTGACTTCAGTTCACCTCAACTGTTCTACGTTAGTAGCTCTGCACCGATAATACATTAATTGAATTACCCTTCTATAGGGAACTACTTCAGATACTGCTTTCTGAAAATCATTGTGTAGTCTTAGTTGTGTCATGGACCACTCTTCTATGTCTATGGAATTTTATAGGAAGGTAATATCTAATTATACTTATAAGCTCCCAAGGTTTTAAAAGCTTGGATAATTATTACAATAGGAAAAAAGTTGTATGCGATACCCTGTTGAACTCTGATGTTACCTAGAGATAACATTAAAACTGAGAGAACGTATTTGTGGTTTATTAAAATGTCCCAATTATATAATTTTGGCAGAAACAAATCAATACTTTTCACTATTATGCTGAAATATGCAAAATATATTTCAATTCTCAGTACATTTGTAAGGGTTAGTAATCAAACTAGTCAAATATTTGGAAGCTAGGATTGTATTCTGATCCCTGTTACACCACCGAACATTACATTTTGTTAGCTGGAGGGGGTCATAAAAAGCTCACTACAGATGAGAAAGAGGCTTTTTTCCATAAAGGGGAAAGCCTACTAAGGTTGTGTTTGGAATTCAAAATGCCAGTTTCTCCTGCAACATATTTACATTTGTCCCTGCCCGTAAATTAAATAAATACACGTAAAACCGATATCTCTGAATTTTTATTTTCAGAGTACTGACTCTGTCAAGTACCTAAAAGTACTTGACATAGAGTACTTTTAATAAAAAGATTTCATCTCCCTACCACAGCATTAGTACAATCCGCTGGAGAGACCATGCTGATACTGTGCTGTACTATGCAAAATTGCATATATCGCTATACTTGTGTATCAAAAACTTGTCCTGTACGGACTAAGGAGTAGTTTGTCCTCCAGTTAGACTGGTATCAGGTAATAAACAGTGCTCATGAAAGAAATCAAGCCAACAAGGCTATGGCGGAAAGATTCTTGTTGATGGGGGGGGTGGGGGAAGTAATGAGTAGCAATAGTTGACATTTTAGAGCTAGAGTGAAGGAAATAACTTTAAAATTCAATCACATTACTTGCTATCAAGGGAATTTTCTGAGCTAACTGGAAAATCCTGCACATCTCCTGTTTACCGTACTCCAGCATAGTCAGTATACAAAGCTGCAAACACAACAAATATTTTGTCTTAAACAGTTTGTATTTACACACATCTGTCCCAGCAGTGCAAACCAGTTCTATTATATCTGGATGTCAAGAAAAGCATCAACAGATACCTAAACAAAAAACAGAGAACTGCTACCTATATACTTGGGTATTTCAATACCAGCTTAAGAACCAGCTTCAAACATGTCACTGCTGTGTTAATAAATCATCAGCTGCTTGGAAGGAAATGTTCTTTAATGCTTAAAAATTTGGGCCGTGCTATGAGAATTCCACTCAATTAAAGAACCAAACTAGATTCTCAAGCACTGACCAGTAACCTGTAGACAAAACCAAAAGGTTTGTTACGAGGGGAGCTTAACCTTCAGGGACATTTTCTAGAAGCTTCACACTGCCAGCAAGTAGCCATTCAAGAAAATCCTAAATAAAGTAAAGAGTTTTTAAATGTGTACCCTCCAATACGAAGGGCTAAGATACATACAAGTCCGAGCAGATGCCATTGCCTCTTCCTTCATGGGAAGCAAATCCACGTGTGCAAAGCAGAAGAGAGCTGAAATTGGGGCATACTCCTGTGAGCTCTACAGAGTTTATCCCCCCACAATCTACATGCAGCCAATAAACCCAAAGCTGGGAAAGGTAAATAATCTGAATGCAACATAGGACTCCGTCAG